TAAATTCTGTATTTAACGGACTGTAGAAGCGCTGCAGATAGTATAAGTAAGGTAACCCCAAGCTGTAAAGTCAATAATTATATCATCGCGGATGTTTACCAAAATTGATCTTTGAGCTAAAAAAAAAAAAAAAAAAAGCTGGAAAAATTATGATAATATACTGGGTTAAAGGCCTTCCAGGTATTCATCATAACGAAACAGTGGATGCATTGGCGAAGGAGGCCACTGTATCTGGTGTATCCCATCAGTTGAAAATTCCTAAAACAGACGGTAAAATTTTTTTCAACCAATTTCGTTCCAATTTATGGGATAAAGAATACAGCTCAGCAACAGCTGGCGAACACTAACGAGATTTATTCCCGAAGCTTAAAGCAAAACCGTGGTTTTCGGAAGGAGGCAGGCAAAACGAATTCTATTCTATTATTTTCAGAATGAAAACTAACCATGGCCTTGGGGAAGTATTCTAGGAAGCATAGAATTGGAATAAGCACTTCCCTAACTGCCCAACATGCGACAGTCCATCAAATCCCAGTCATCTAATACTAGAAGGCCCAGAGTATGATAACCAGAGGAAACAATTGTTGGATTTGTATGGTGACCCGAGTGTATTTGGCCCAATAAGTCTTGAAACGCTGTTGGCAAGTAACATGACGGTTTTTGATTAATTTAAAAATTTCATAAATCAATTAACATGTCTTTTTAAGGTCCGGGAGAAGGAAAAAACCTACTAATGCTGTCATGTCGGAAAACAAGTATAGTAGACGTATGCGTTTGTTCTTGGAGGTTTGCTGGGTGACGTACCCGGTAGGTTGTCTGCAAGTCCGAAGCAGCGATGATAGACGGACCAAAAATGTTCGGAAACGACCAAACCCGAAGCCGGCTCTGTTTCACCAGCACATTAACAGATAATGTTAAAGCAAATGTACAACTGTGTGACTTTACAAGTACAGACTTGCCGAGCGATGTGCGGCTACGATTCTATTGAACTCCTTAAATTCACTAATTTCGTGGTCCGCTTGACCAATTAATACATTACAATTAATTAAGGTTTTTAGTTGAGATAAAAAGGTCAATGGCACGAGGGGGATTCGAACCCACGATCTTCGGCTTGATACGCCGCTGCTCTGCCACTTGAGCTATCGTGACGTAGATCCACTCGGACACCAACTTCCCATCTCAACCCCACCTTTTGAATTTTCCCTCCTTTTTGCTATTTTTCAAATGTCGTGTAATCGTGATTGGATTCTCGACGACAAATGAAATGGCCACGGAGAGCTTTAGTGAAGTATACTTCATTTTTAAATCATTAAATTCACTAATTTCGTGGTCCGCTTGACCATTTAATACATTACAATTAATTAAGGTTTTTAGTTGAGATAAAAAGTCAATGGCACGAGCGGGATTCGAACCCGAAAAATGGCAAAAAGGAGGGAATATTCAAAAGGTGGGGTTGAGATGGGAAGTTAGTGTCCGAGTGGATCGAGGTCACGATAGCTCAGGTGGTAGAGCAGCGGCGTATCTAGCCGAAGATCGTGGGTTCGAATCCCGCTCGTGCCATTGACTTTTTTATCTCAACTAAAAACCTTAATTAATTGTAATTCTATTGAACATTTGTCTCCATTCATCCGTAAAACGTCCATAACGCCAAATGATTCAGGGCTTGATGGAAAGTGCTCTGAAACGCCTCGATAACTTGTTAACATTTCCGGGGATAGGTCGATCCCTGACATTTCACAGCGATGCTAAAATCTAAAGACCGACCCGAAGCCGGATCTGTTTCAAACAGCACCTTAACAGATAATGTTAAAAGCAAACGTTCAACTGTGTGCGACTTCTTTACAAAACTAATATTTTCGATTAATTTAACCAAAAAGAAAATGGTTTTCTAAAAACACGTCAACAGCGGAATTAAATTAAGTTTTGAAATACAGAGATCACATGTTATTTGAAAGTCCAACTTCGAAAATAATAATTTGCTAAATTTATTTTGCTAATAAATCGAATGGGTTATGATAAAGATGAAAACTTCAAAAAACTATTCCAAGGCGTAAATGAAGATTGATTTTTTAAAAATGTTTTAATGCATGACTTTAAGTCAAAAGAGAGTCAGCCATTTCCCTAAGTGGCCGGCACAAGGTACAACGAAAACTATCGAATTAATATTTAGTATAGATCATACGTTTTGTGAAAGCCAACAGACAAATTTTTGAATAAAACATTTTATGAAGTAGTTTGTTTTGTTCGTTATAGTTAAATTTATTTAGGCATTTGCGGTTAGGTCGAATGGCAAACGATAAGCAAAAAGATTTTGAAAAATACTTAGAAACATACAGAAAAATCACTGAATCATTGGGGCGTCCGAACGAAAAATGGGAACGCGCCATACTACGGCAGCGTTTGGAAGAAGTGGGCCAAAAATTGCCTCAATCCGTCATACTGTCAATCGAGGCGTTCATAAGGCTGATAAATTTGGAAGGCATAAAGCCGGATCTCAAAAAAACATCCATTAAGTGTTTGCAAGACATTTGGGAGATGGTTCAGATAGAGAAAATAACACCGGTGATGAAGAGGGACGTGATAGATTGGATTTCAGTGTTGTCGTCGACGTCCAAAACGAAAGACCAAGACATCAAACTGAAGATTGACGAGAGCTATTGGAGGTTGCAGAGAGTCTACAGGAAGTTCAAAGTAAGACCCAAGAAAGCACAAACCGAAGAAGAATATGACAAAAAGGAAACCATCAGCGCAAAATCGTTGAGCACTCGTGACATTTCAGTGCTGACTTATTTCGTTCAAGGAGGGTGCCGTTCGATGAGCCAAGAAGCGCGATTCAATTACGACGATTTTATGACCAAGTGTGAAATAGTTTTGTGCCTTTTAAGACAACTACAAAATGTCGTCCAAGAGACCCACAAACTGTCTAGAAGGCAGAGATGCTCCATCTACGACCACATCAACGTGGCGAGACGATGTTTCGGCTTCGACGCAATGGACTCGTTGAAGATGCAACAGAAAGTTGAATACACATTGAAAGTCTTTCGTGACTGTTTGAAAGAAAACATCACCCCGCCGAAAGAGGTCATAGAAAACTTTAAGGACGTAGTTGAAATGAGGGAGATAGGGAGTAAAATCGAACTTAAAAAACACACCGACCTCTTGATTCAGTTGATGGACGATCTCAACTATATGGACGAGTGGTGTATTCAGAATGAGGCCAAAAATTGGAAAGAACCTTTTGTTACAAGCAAAGATAGCGTGATTGATTTCAATAAAATGCCTGATTTTTAACGATAGTCTGGTTAATTGACAGACTGCCTAACATCCATTTTTAATACAAAAAATATTTCTACACAAAACAATCAATTAGAAAACAGTTTTCTTCATTATCAATAAATGCTAGATGACTTTCGACTAGTTGATTCCAACAGGTGTTTTCAACAACAACACTATAAAAGTAAGAAAAACTTTCTCATATATTAGATTTATTTTCATTATATTCATTATAATGTTCGTGTTTAACTATTTTTGGGCTGGTTAGGCTTCAGACATGCCAAACTAAGACAAATTTTGCCAGTGTGATACCCTCCAAACCTTATTTCTACTATAGGTTTAAACTTCCGAGTAAACAAATTGTTTGAAGAAAAATAATAGAAGGAACGATAATATACCGCGTATGGCATCAATTTTTTTAAACATAGAATAATTATACCTTTCATCGTAAGTTTTTTAATCGTAAGAAACCAAAAGTTCTAATTCCCTTTACTGTCGATTCATAAGCAACATGAAACAAGCAAGCGCAACAAAAAATTTCCTTATTATAAGAAAACTAATAATCTATTAATAATAATTAGGACCATCATAATGGTATGGTATAGTAAAAAAGGATACTAGGAAGCGGGGTTTGTGCTCCCCAGGCACTGCAGCCTTCTGGCATATTGTACCTTCCTAGTTCCTTAGTTCAGTGCAATAGACTCAATCCTTCTTAGAAGTATCACATCATAGACTGTCGCTGCTGCAATTTGATTCCCTAAGTTTTTTTGTTAGGTTAAATCTCCATTGAGCTGTTGCTTCGCATTCGAAGATGATATGGGTGGCTGTTTCCTCCTCCTCATTACATAATCTGCAGATGGGATCATCGTTGTATATGCCCATGTTGTGTAGATGTTTTCTCAGATGCCAGTGACCGGTAGTACTACCACTCCTCTGAGTTTGGCCCGCTCGAATTGCAGCAATGATTATGCCAGTCTTGGTGAGGATTGTTTCATCGTAAGTTTGCTGTGTCTAGCGCCGCTAAAGTTTATCCACTTCTCCTTTTGTTTCGTTTTGGATCCATTCTGCGATGGAGGATTCTATGTTTGTTTTTGTTATCCAAAGTATAGGTTCGGGGCCTATATATGGTATTGCAGAAATCCTCTGGCCAGATTGTCTGCTTTCTCATTACCCAGAATTCCCCTTTGCCCTGGCACCCAAGATACCAGGTTGTTTTGGAGATTTTGGATGCCTATCAAAATGGACGAAGCAATAAGATAAAGATTTAGACGTTCCATTCACACTGTTTCGACGAAGTGTAGAATAAAATTAACCTACTTGACACAAAAAGTAGATAAAATGTCCAGGAAAAAATCAAACTATACATTTAGGACTTATGAAAATTCGTTTCAAACCTTAAATTTTGAAGTTCAAACAACTATTATTTTTCACTGCATAGGAATAGATAAGGAATTATATTATTCGAAACAATAATGTAGATGGAACTTGGTAAAATGTGAAGAAGAAAAACTTGTTTGCTTCGGAAAGTGACTTCTTGTAGGTTACATCACCAAGAAGAATAAAGGAATAAATGTACTAACAGCCTAATCAAAAACATTAAATCGTAGTGGCCTAAATATGATTTAATGTTCTAGACTAGACCAACCTCGAACCTACTTTTAGTAAAGCTCAAGTAGCAAAACTCTTTCCTGTCAAAAAATAAGTCGTGCAGTTTGAAACAAAATACTTACAGCTCCTCCCTCTGACGTTGAGACAACACCATTTTCATGATCTTCGATTGTTTTTAGATGACAGTAGTTCCTGATGAATTGTTCGATTAGATTGTTACAGGCTCCATTACACTGAAACAAAAAAATAATTCGAATATTAGCGTACAAGGTTGAGACGAAAATCCAAATTGTATAAAATAATCTTACTATGATTTCTTTGATTATAAAGATTGCTAACTAGTTTGGCAATTAATCGATTGCAAATGCAACTTATAATTTTATTTTTTATTAGGTTTCGGGGGTCCGCTTGACCAAATTCTTTTCAATTAATTAAGGTTTTGGTTGAGATAAAAAAGTCAGTGTCACAAGCAGGATTCGAACCCTCGACCTAAATACGCCGCTGCTATCGTGACTTCGATCGACTCGGACTTCCCATCTCAACCCCACCTTTTGAATTTTCCCTCCTTATAACATAATATTTATTAGGTTATTTTTAATTTATATAATGGCAAGACCCAGTTTTATATGACTGTCTGATGAAGACAGATATTGGCTGTTTCATGCTTGAATGATTGTTTGAATTCACATAAAAACAGGAAATTTAATATGTACAATGGTACAAGTGCTAGCTAAATATTTAACAGAAGAAATTTTCATCTTCTAAATTTGTACAATAAAATCATTAATGACACTTTATTATAAATTATAAAAACAATATAGTTAGCGACCTGTGCTAAAAATTGAGATTTGTTTTTGTTTATAATATATTTATGATATAGATTAAAATTGAGGAAAAACTTATGACATTCCGTTTTTCGTTTAAAAAAAATTCCTTATGCAAACTTAAGGTTTATTTTTGGAATGTATATAATGTTAATAATTATATAGCACCAGTGGGTAAACAATTGATGATATAGCAGAGCTTTATGGTGATTTTTTTTTATTAGTTTTAGTCTGGAAATCTTGAATGTTTTAGAGATTCTTGAGAACAGACTTAATACACATGCATAAAAACATTCCGTTACACATCGTTAAAGGAAATGTAACTTTTATATTGCATTTTAAAACCCTGGAAATCGAGTTTCCAAAGTGAAAGCGGTGCAAAGGTTCTCCCAGGAGTTAGAATATGCAGCCTAATAACAAGAAGCCCTGGGTAAACGACAACCTCGAATTAATTCAATTAGACGAACAAACAATGAAAATGTGATTTCTATGATTTCTCTGGTTGAATAATATCAATTGGATTGTGATTCAACGCGTACAACTTTCGCACTTTGGGAATTGATTTAGCATAGGGTTTTTCTTATATACTTCTGATAACACATCTTCAATGTATAGCGCAACTGTTAGGGAACCCTCGATGAAGATCGAGTTTGTGTGACCTCCCTTAGAAATGAACGCCCAAACCATACCATAACACGACCACTTCCAGATTTTCCGGAGTGAATACGTTGAGATATATCATCAACCTTCAGAAGACCTCAAACAAAACAAGATCAGAAAACAAGATTTTAGTCCAATCTTGCTCAGACCAATTGACCAATGTACAAGGTGACATTGATCGGTCAAGGTGTTGACCTCTTCCGAAGATCCTCTGAAAAGAACTTCTTGTATCCAGCAGGTCGATAATCTATTTTCATCGTTAAACTCCAGTATCTTGGAAGACCCTTCGGACAGATGTTCTGGGGATGTTAAGCACTGGCCACATACGATTGACTTCTTCCATCTTCCATCTTTACTTCGATTCTAGCCGAAGCCTTAAACAATCACTCAAACAAATCGAAACTTAAAAATGGGACCACTTTAAAAAATCAAACCATCGGAACGTTAGAAAGAAGCTTGAAAGAAAAACCAACAAAGAAAATATTGACTATTCAAAGATTATTTACAAAATCCAATTGAAACACAAGTGGGAGATTTTATCTTTGGTTTTATTTACCTTTACCCCTTTAAAACGGACTAAATATTGTTGTAAGACAATCAACTGAGGATTAGCTAAGAGATAATTAAAAATATTAAGTGACCAATTTTTTGCCTCTCATTGCATATGAATTTTTACTGACTCATTTGATAAAGTAGTGTTTGCACTGGTTTGCTAAGGCAGTTGATTTGCTGGACCGGTGTCTCAAGTTTTTGTTGCCAGTCACGGTCTGGCGCATTGCCGAGCCACGGATGTCCAACAATCCTCACTGCTGTCCCTAGTGATTGCATCATAGTTTCCTATCATAGGATAGGTTTGTCAGATGGTAGAAAACTGACAAAATCAAAATCAATTTCATATATTTTTCTGGCTAATTTTTTTTAGAACAGTTTGTAATTTGACTTTCTTTTCAAAAACCTCGCAAAATAAAACAATGGTCAAAAATATTAAAGGGCCAAAGTGTTTTAATAAACAAAAAATACAAATCGTAAAAAGCAGGTGTGCCGAATGTTGACCCAGGCTGGAGATTATCATTCCATAACGACTCCCTCAACCGGCCAGCAAAGAAAGCGAAAGGAACCGGGCCACTTTCATTTCACCAACCTTTTACCAAACCCAATTAGAAAGACCTATCCGATGTAGGAAAGTATTTTACAGAGGGAAACGGGGAAAGGCAACAAAACAAAAGGGCGACAAATGCGTTGTTAGCGCTGTATTTAACAGTCCGAAAGGAAACGAGATGAGAAAAACCATGCGCTGTTTGAAAATAGGTTATCGAAACCCTAAACGGAGATGTTACGGGACCTTCCTCGGCGTAGATGGACCCGAGGCTTAATATTCCCGAAGCCGTGTGGGGCCGGGACGATGTTCAGCAAGGTCAACGACTCCGTCACCGTTAGGAAGAATGGTTGGCGTCAAGCAAAAGGATGAGCAGAAATGTTCGGGAGAAAAAAATGAATACGAAATTTCCCACGACCATGGTTTCATTTCGGCAAAAGGAATTGTTTGGAACATCACGCTCTGACGCTCCAAAAATACAAGGCCCGATCGACTTTCTATAGGCATCGTGTTCATTGGACTTCATGAATTTCTAGTTGAAAAAGTCGTGTCAGATAGACAAAACAGTACAGGACTTGAAAGATCATAGCTTTGACCAATAGCCCACTGGGAACTTGGATTTGTATTTTATGAAAACGTCGTGTCAACATAAAAATACACGTGAACAAAAGATGACTTAGCAAACCATAGTGTATCTTACCATTCACTGTGGTACTTCAATTTTTAGTTTATAGAAAAGTTGATCGGCCAAACTACACGCACGCAGAAAAAGACTTGAAAGATCCTTGCTTTAGCCTAACGCTTACTTACTAGGCTTCATAAATTTTTAGTTTATGACAAGTTGATCGGCCAAATTACACACAAACAGAAGAGGAATTTGCACATGAAAGATGCTTGATTTAGCATCTCGCTCCATTGAACATTGAATCCCACTGGGTTCTTGAATTTGAAGTCGTCTCGGCCAAACTAAACGTTAACAGATGAGGGCGTAAATATTCTAGCATTAGCCTATCGTTTACTAGGTTCATGAATTTTTAGTGTATGGAAAAATTCACAGTACTAACTATACGAAGGCAGAAGAGGACTGAAAGATTCTAGCTTAAGATTATCGTTTACTCGGCTTCATGAATTTGTTTTTTATGGAAAAATTAATCGGCCGAACTACACGTAAAGAAAAGAAGGCTTAAAAGATCCTAGCTTAAGACATGAATGTTAGTTTATGGAAAAATTGATCGGCCAATCTACAGGCAAACAAAAGAAGACTTAAAAAATCCTAGCGTAAGACATGAATTTTAGTTTATGGAAAAATTGATGGGCCAATCTACAGGCAAAAACAAAAGAAGACTTAAAAGATCCTAGCTTAAGAAATGAATTTTAGTTTATGGAAAAATTGATCGGCCAATGTACAGGCAAACAAAAGACTTAACAGATCCTAGCGTAAGACATGAATTTTAGTTTATGGAAAAATTGATCGGCCAATCTACAGGCAAACAAAAGAAGACTTAAAAGATCCTGGCTTAAGACTATCGCTTACTTGGCTTCATGAAATTTTACTTTATGAAACAGCAATACCCCATCGCTTACTCGGCTTCTTGCAATTTTGGTTTACGCAAACCAAAATTTCTTGTCGGCCAAAGTACATGCAAACATGAAATTAAAACATACAAGCTTTAGCCTATAGCTCCCAGGATTTTTGAACTTTTGTTGACGAAAAGGTTGAAAGAAGAAGGCGTAAAAAACCTAACTTTAGCCTATCAAGTGATTTATTCGTTTTCTTTCTAGGAAATACAATAATCAGGAAATCAGGAACAAAAATGTTGAAAAACATTAATATTAATAATTAAAAGTCATTAGAGGCCACTCTTAAATGGATACTCTGGCCTTAATCCCAATGATGACATTGACAAAATTTCAATATATAATAAGAAAATATAATAAAGATGATGCAAGTAAGATGTTTGTTATAATTCTTCAATCATTTTAAGATTAGAAAGTATTGGAACTCACCCAAAAAATGTAAGATTTCTCCAAAAACATTACGCTGTAAACTGGCATGATTTTTTATTACATATTCTGTTTCACTGTATGTTTTAATTTCCTTATTTCGCAAGAGAAAATTCCATTTTATAAAACACATTTTTTAAAAATTTTATTAGATTGAAAACAACACGAAAGTGCTTAAGGAAAATTCCTTAAATGACACAATTTTTGCCGCGTCACCGACGAAAATACGACGCCTTGCGTTATCATGAAGTCATAAATCTCCATTTCCTTTCTCTAATGCAAATCGATCCTTGATGGTTGCAATAAATTTCGGAACAATTTGACGGAGATGTTCAACAAATTAAAAGATTGCCCAGCAAAACATCAACTCCAGGATCGATGCTATAAAACCAAGACCTTTTACCATCATCACAATTTAATTTGTATTCTTTAAAATTATCTACACAATTTTTGTCGTTTCACCAACGTTGTCCTGATCCAACAGCTCTTATCTCTCTAATAAGAAAACTACCTGGTCCTTGGAAGGTTGACTAAGTAATTGAGGATAGATTTTTCATTTGGCCTTCCCTATGATCGAAATATATTCAGTTCAAAGAAACTTTTAGCATAGTAAGTTCACAAAGACAGAAAGTCGACTTTCTTTCAATTT